AACAAAACATTGACTAATTCTTTTTTTATACAATTTTATATATTGCATTAGAGTACATATGCATATATATGTAGATATATTGTTTTATGTGATTGTTTGAAGTTTTTTTTTGCTTTAATTATATAAAATTTGACCTAAATTATTTTTTGTGCCAAGAATTTAATTTTTTTGTTTTTATCCGTTTTAACAAATTATTTTTCTAATACACTTATTTTTTATTATTATTATTTGATATTGCACAATGTGGAAAGAAACGTTTTTTTTTTATTATATAAAAATTGACACACTTATAAATGTTTAATTTTTTATAATTAAGATTAAACTTGTTTTGGCTAATTTTTTTGAAATATTTACAATTTACAATTGAAGAGGGTTTTTTCTTTTGTTATTATGAAAAGGATTTTCGAAATTAAGGGCAAAGAAATCTTTCTCAGAATTTCCATTAGAGAAATCGTTTTCTGGTACTTCTTCTTAACCCTCTTTTTCCTATTTTTTTTTTTTTTTAATTTTTTATTCTGTAGACTGTTTTGTTTAAAGTTAAACTTAAAATGTTGTTATTGTGTTTTTTGTTTTCTTGGGAAAATAAAATATATATTTTTATTTGCCTATATAAAAACCCCATAAAACTCCACTTTTTTTTTGTCAAAAGTGGCGTTTTTCTTCAGGAGGTTTTTTATACATTAATTTGAGGAACTTTTCATACCATACACTTTTTTTGTTTTTTTGTTAAATAAACAAACGATTTTCACAAATTACTATAAAAATTACAATTATTATAAGTTTGAGGAAAGATGTAATAGGGATAGAGAAAGAGAAAATGACAGTGTGGTTTATTTTTTTAGACATTGTAGAAGGAATGGAATGCCATGGCGAACTTTTTGATTTTTGTAAAAAAAAAATTTTCCAAAAAAAAAAAAAAAAAATAAGGCGACCTTGAAGGACAATTTTTAAATATCGATTCTAAATACATTTTGGAAAAAAAACTGCAACAAACTTCATTTTTTTTGAATTTCGATTATAAATTCAAAACAATTTATGAGACATATTTTTAGGTTTCTCATGAAAATTTTGTAAAATACATTGCCCACAGGGGTAACAGTATAGCGAATTGGTTTACATATATTTGGTTTACAAAGTCTCAACATTTCATAATTTTCAATTCTTGAAAAATTCAAAATATGTCCGCCATGTATTTCCACACCTTCAGAGAAATTTTCCTATATACTTCTTATACTTAAGTAATTATTTACATTTAAAATATATAATTTTTTATAGATATATTAAATTAATGAGGTATATATTTTTTGTTGAATTATTTACACTTATATTTAATTACACACACGATTAGGTGAGGGGAACAAATCTGTACAAAAAATTGTAGGTATTGGTAGGCTATTCTATGTTTAGATAAATTCTTTAAGTTGAGTTTTTGTATTTCGATAAACCCTATGCTTAGCTTCTTTGAGGGTTTTGCTTTTTTGTCATTCATCGAAGAGGTATTGGAGGTATTTGGTTTGTATATTTCCTGTTTGGTTATTTATTCTTACTTTGTTCAAAAATATTGCAAAATGTTTTTTTTTATATATTTGTAAGGATATTTTATAACAAATAATAGAAAAATTGTGGTGTAAAAAATAAATAAAAAATATTTAATTAAAATTGAATAAACAAAAAAAATAATAATAATAAAATGCTAAAATATAATAAATGATAAATTTAGTAGAAATTATTTATGTAATAAAAATAAAAATAAATTTCAAAAAATATTTTTCATTGATATTTTGGAAAATGTTTACTGTTAAAAATAACTGTAACAGTCCGTAGAGAGCCGCAGCCTATTGCAGATCGTTAAGCTCTTTTCGTAAGAGTATCAAAACAAATAAAACCATAAACATATCACTATCTCCTTAAAATATTAAAATAACGCTCAATATAATATTACCCAAAATGGCGTTGATACTTTTTAAATAACTTGCAGATCAACGAAAAATTCGGAAAAAAATCTATTTTTGGGTTCCAGTAAATATCGGTTTCTGTTTCTTCCAATCGAAAGGTGACTAGGATCGATAATTCAAACTCGAAATGTGATATTTTTTAAAAAACTTTAAAATGTGAGTGAGGGGCCAAAAATACAAGAAAATCGAACATTTATATCCAATTTGGTGAGGTACCAGAGAAAATGGCCTAATCTCTACCTTCTTTATAAAAGATGTAGTATTGATAGAAATATTGAGATGTGCCAAGTCGGAATGAAATCGGATGTTACTTTCGCGTTTTATGAGCTGCATGGCTATTCAAAATGTTGAACCTTTGTGGGAGAGGTACCAGAAGGAGTGGACCGATATATTCCTTCTTCACATCAGACCATGGGTTAATAAAAATATTGTGATGTGTGCAATTTGAAGACAATCGGTAGTAATTATATCACATTTTATAAGAATTAAATTTATTCAAATTATTGACCCTTTTTGAAGGAGGTACTTGGTGGAGTAAACCGTTATTGTCCATGTTCGCACCTAGCCATGATGCAAATATTAGCATTTGCAAAGTTGAAGCAAAACCAGGTTATCCTTTTCCTTTCTGTACAGGAAAATATAATTCGACTTTTGTGCTGGTACCAGACGCAGTGCACCGATGTTGCCCATCTCCGAACTCAATCTAAGTTTGATAATAATATTACGATATATCAAGTTTGGACCGAATAGATTATCCCTTTAATAGTTATTGTGCGCACCAGACAGCCATACAGACGGACGGACACACCTAGATCAACTTCAAATGTCCTGAAACGGATTTTTTCCCATGAGACCTGGGGTCAAAATGATTATTTTGATGAGGCTCGTTTTTGGTCGTATGAAATGATATATACCCTCTCTAGGCATATGGCTGAGGGTATAAAGATCGTTGAATAATACTGCTAAAGTCATAAAAGTAGGAAATATAGGGAGTTACCGTTATATTGGGGCCTATACAAAGACATGGACCTGAATATGCAATTTTTGCCATTTTTGGAGCCAGGAATTAAGAAACATCTATGGAAATATTCAAAAATATTACGACTCGTTTTTGTATTGTTCTGCTCTGAGATATAATCTGTAATGTGAATTTTATGGAAGAAAATACCTTCTTGCCTGTTTTCCATTCAAGAAATACAATTTTCTGATTTTTCAATTGACATTTGATTTTTTCAAATTTTTAATTTTTTTTTTTTTAGAAAAATCAGTTTTTATCTTCACTCTCTTGATATTCTCTCGTGAGAATAGACTATGTTGCTCCAACGAGAAAGAAGGGAATTGGGATGGAAAATCCAAGTGAAACAAGACATCTGGAAATTTGTTGTCAGACATTGGATATCGATCCGTTTGGAAGTCTATTCTACCTTTCAAGGCCGATGTTCTGTTATAATTATGTAATTTTACGATTTCGAGAATTCAGACAATTTTCACAGATATATTTTAAATCGCTAAAAATTGTTAATGATGTCGATATGATTTGAAAAGGTGACTATTTCAAGTATGGTATCAAATTGACGGAATTCTATCATTCATAAAAAAGTAATTTTTGGCCTTGAGAAGAATTTTTTTCTGGCAAATATTAAGGGAAGTTTATGAAGAAGGTTATGTTTTATGAAAAGATTTCTGATTTTTTGGAGCTGTAAATTATTTTCTCTGTCGTTAGGGCATTCGATTGCGGTCTCTACGCAGTCTATTTTGGGGGGTAACAATTATGAACATTTAAATAAAACTTCAAATACACATAACATGCAAACAGAACAAAAAACAAGCATTCAATGTAAGGTGTTTTAAAAGGGATATTGATTTAATGGGAACAATAATGGAAAATATTCGATTTCTTTAAAAAAAAATATTCAAATATTTGAATATTTTTTAATTTATTTTAATTATTTTTTTTAAAGTTGTGATAAGAATAAAAATGAAAAATGTAGGCTCTCTTTTTAATGACAAATTTAAGACCTTTGAATTTGACATTTGTGCCTTGCAACTAATAAAAAATATAATAAAAAAATAAAAAATATTTTTAAAATTTTTTTGAAAAAATATTCTACATTTTTTATTAAATCGATGCTTCAACTCCATTTATTATTATTATTATTTTTTTTTTTCTGAAAAAAAATATATTTTCTGAAATTAAATATCGATAATCGATATTTTATTAAATTATGGATTCTACTTCTTTTATACTTCTTTTTTTACAAAAAAAAAAAAGAAATTGTTTTCTGAATGTAAAAAAAATCGAAAAATGTAAAAGAATCGAAATTTTTATAAATTTTTCAAGAATTTGGTATGAAGATCTTATGCTCTCCTTTTTTAAAAAAGTAAAATATTTGAAATTTCTTGAATATTCTAAAAAAATATATATAATTTTAATACTTTTTTGTTGGAGAAAATTCTCAATGTTTCTATAAATGCAGTTGAATTATAAAAAATTAAATTTTTTTTAAATATTTTTTTATTATTTTCAACTCAAGATACCAAATTTTTTTTGATATTTTTTGTAAACATTTGACTTAAATATCAAAAAGAAAATAGTTTCTTGAAAAAAAATATAAAAAATTACTGATATTCCAATTATTATTTTTTTTTAATTCAGAATCATATAAAAAATATTAATTTTTTTTCAAAAAAGGAATGAAAGTATTCTTTTTAGAATATTCAAGAAACAAAACATAATTTTAAGTATTTAATTTTTAATTTTTTTGAAGTTAAAATATCAGTATTTTTATTTAATTTTAATTCATTTATTTGATTTTTTAATGAATGAAATATATTTCTATTTTTTAAGCCATTTGTTTCCATTATTTTTTTCAAACTAATTTTTTTTTTTTCAAACTAATTTTTTTTTTCAAATTATATTTCATTCATTGCTGTTCAATCACTTCCCATATATTTTTTCAAAATAACCCTCTAAAAATGTTTCCCAATTTCAAAATGTCGATAAAGAAAGAAATAAAAATAAAAAGAGCACAAGTTTTTTTGATTCAAATAATTTTCCAATTATTATTTTTTATTTAAAATTCTTGTATTTTTTTCCATATTTTCCATTGTTACTCACATCAAAATCCACACCTAGTTAATCATCAATTGTAACTAATTTGCTTTTACAAAAAAACAATAATAAGTATAATAATAAAAACAATGTAATTCTTTTTTTTTAGTTTATAATCAGAAAGAAACAATTATTATTTTTGCAAATTTTCAAAATATTTTTCAAAAAAATAAAACTTAAAGTTAATTTTGATTGGTTAAGAAAAAAAATTTCTTAAAGAATTTTTTTGATTTAAAAATAAATGTTTACCACACTACAACTTAAACAACTAATTAATAAGTAATAAAAATATATATATATAATTAATAATAAAAAATAATTTTCTTTGTCATATGTGCAATTTTGAAAAAAGGAAAATTAATTTTGTTTGTTTTATGTACAATTCAAATTTGGGTTTGGCTATTTACAAATGCATTTCCTTTTTTGATTGGTTTCGAATATATACAATCTTGAGGCAACGTTCAAATATAAAATAATAATAAAAATAAAAAATAAAAAAATAAAAAAAATGATAAACTTAAAAATAGAACTTAAATATAAATGGCACTGTTTTGTTAGAAACCAAATTTTGTTTTTGTTGTTCTTTGTACAATTTAAATGTTTTTTCTATGTGCAATTGATTGGTTTTGGTTTGTTTGTTTCAACTTACGTTCTAGGATAAATTGTTTTTTGTTTTGTTTTTCGAGTTGTACTTGGGGATTTCATTTAGTTTTAGACCTGTTTGAGTTGATGCGTCTTGGGTGCAGGATGCAGCATGCGTTTTCATTTTTGCTTGGCAGCACAAAATTTTAGAAATTTTGCCCGGAGCACATTTCCATTTGATGGAGAATGCCTGGAGTTGCTAATTCGAGTTTGGTTACAATCTTTGGGATTTGCGTCATGACTAAGAATTCTTGGAATTGTCTTCGTTGTAAAAGATGAGGATGAGGATCGCTTGCTTATTCCATGCGTTCATGTTTGAGCTGTTGTTGGTGTTGTTGTTGCTGTTGGCGCATATACATGGTGGCAGCATCATCCAATTCATCCAAGTCCAAATCATCTTGCATCATGAGCATGGGTTCGGGGCTCTGGGCAGCTGAGGAGGGATTTGAGGCCACTTGATGGCGGGGCGAGTGCATGCTCAAGTCCTCGGGTTCGGTTTGTTCGGGCATATCGCTGGGCACATGCATAATCTGGGGAGGAGGCAAACGGAAGACACGACGAATATCATTAGCCTTGCGGAAACGCATGGCCTCGATTTCATCGGTTTGGCTGCCATCCTCAGACAAATCCAAGGGAGCTTCTTCTTCCATGTGGGAAATGCCGGCCAAGTGCATGATCGAATGGCTAACCAAGGGCTTGCTGACCTCCATGGATTCTTCGGAGCCATAGAAAGATTTCTGGTCACAGTTCATGATGTTGTAGTCACCGCTCATGGCTGGGCTCAGGGCTGGAGTAATGGGCGATTGCACACCACATTTGTGGTTCATCAAATGGTGGCGGCGTCTGAACTTCATGTGGCACTTTTCGCATTCGAAGGGCTTCTCGCCATTGTGCACCAGCATGTGGGACTTCAATTGATTGCTGTCACTGAATTTTCCATCGCAAATTTCACAGGTGTAGGGCTTCTCACCGGTATGGACACGCAAATGACGACGCAAGTTGGCCACCTGCACAAACTGGCGATCACAGTGGGAGCAGTGATAGGGCTTCTCGCCGGTGTGCAGGCGCATATGGGTCTTCAAATGGTGATCACGGGTGAAACGCTTATGGCATTCGGGGCACTCGAAGGGCTTTTCGCCGGTGTGGGTGCGTTCATGGTTTTGCAAGACATGTTTGTAGCCAAAGGACCGAGAGCAGATTTTGCAGGTGAAGCTCTTGTCACGGGAAGCACCATCCTTGGCACCGGCACCAGCAGGGCTGGACACATCATGGGAGGAGCTGTTGGGCGATGAACCAGATGAGGGTGGTGAAATGGGACCAGGCATATTGTACATATCGCTGACACTCATGGACATTTCCATGCTGGGCGAGATCAAATCCTTTTTGACATTGATTTTGCGGGCCTTCTTGGCGGGCATGTCGCATTGCATGGAGGCTGTGGGCGAGGTCATGCTCAGTGAATGTTTGCCGCTGCTGGGTGTGTTCACATTGATGGGCGAGTGAGGAGAGGCGGGTGGTGAGTGAGGAGCGCCCAAAGCCAGACCGGCAGTGGCGGGATTACCAGCGGCCCAGGACCCAAAGAGTGTGGCAGGATGATGTGGGAACAGGGTGGAGGCCAATGTGGACATGGGTAATTGGGCGGCCATAAAGGCGGCAGCTGCTTGGCGATTGGCGGCCAGCAATTGTGTGGGTGAGAGCATGCCAAAGGCAGAGGCTGCGGCAGCTTGTTGGAGACCAGGATACATGGCTGTGTTGGCGGAGGTGTTGGCAGACATGGGAGGCGATAGCGATAGTGAGCGATCGACTTCTTCGCGCTGTTGCATGCCAGCTAAAGCGGCGGCTAGTGCTAAAAGGAAAAGAGAGAAAAACAAAAAGTTAGTGATGTTGACAAAATTTTCGAATCCTTTGTTCAAGGATAGTGTTTTTTTTTTAATTTTTAATAATAATAATTTTTTTATTTTTTTAATACTTACTTCTTGTTTGTGCGTCCTGTAGCAGCGATATAGCCATGTTATGTGTGTGTGTTTGGGGTTTTTTAGCGAATTTTTAATTTCGTGTCAAAAACACGAAATTTTCTTTTTTGGGTTGTTCACAAAATAATCCTTGGGTAAATCCTTGTCTTTTTGTACTTTGTTGTAGTTTTTTGTTAAAAAAAATGTTGTTCACAATTTTTCTTTTTTGTTTAAACAAAATGAGGTATTTTTCGGTTATGTGAGAGGTATTTCACGTTTTTGGTTTTTCGTAAATCCGATTGTGTTTTTTTTTTCTTAAGACACTAAAAAATATTCTTCCTTTTTTTTGTTCTTAGATGTCTTCGTCTTGAGGTTTGCTTGAGAAATGATATGCTCTGGAGGCAATCCTTGTATTTTATACACTTTTTTTGTAAAATATCCTTTGCTTGAGTGATGATGTGTGTGAGTGGTGTAAAAATATCCTTTGGTTTATTTTTCTTTTTTGTTGGTTGTTTATAAAATATTACGTTACACTTTTTTCGAAAATTTTATTTTTTTTATTAAACTTAGTTATTATAAAAATTTGTTTTATGTTTTTCTGTGTGAGTGTGCGTTTTGTTGTATTATTTTATAATGTTATGTTGTTTTTTGTTGTTTGGTTAATTCTTAGATGATGATGTTCTCTGTTAAAGAAGCAAATCACAACTGATACTTTCACTCTGCTCAGCCAGAGTATATGTACTCTCTGCTCTGTGGCAGTTGGTTATGCTCATTTGCCCTAAGCGACCCTCACACAACAAACCCTTGTTTGCTTTCACCAACTCACACGCACACACACACACAGGCATAAACATGGACATGGTAAAAGAAATGCACTCTTCCGTTGCGTTCAGTGGGTTACTCTCAGTAAGTAATGCGTGTACGTGAGTTTACTCTTCTCTCTCTCACACACATTTTGTATGGTACGCTCTCTCTCGTAGTGTGTGTGCCTTTTTTAAAAAGGAAACAGGTAGATTTTTCACTCATTTCTCTTGTTTTTTTTTCTCTGTTGGTTGGGTGTTTTTTGTTGCTGCCTTTCGTGTTCATTCGGCGGCTACCTACCCTTTTTGTTATGTAAATTTGTAACGTCTGGGCAATTGTTGTTGTATTTCTCCTTTTCCGTAGGTGCTGTTGCAATTGTTGTTGTGCTTAATCTTAGCGGCTTTACGATTACAAAAAACTAGAGTAGCCTGCTTTAATTTTTTTTATTACACTCATAAAAATGCCTGTAGTAGTTAAAGTCACTTGGCCGCGGTGTTGTTGATTATATGATGGTTTGTTGTTATTGTTGTAATTTTAGATTTCCTTGAAGGGGAAATTACATTTATGTAAATTTATGCGGAATATTATCATAGTGGAGGATGTTGGATGGAAATTGTCACGTAATATTAGATGCATCATATTTTTGGTACATTTTCAATCTGATAATGAGATCTTTGGAAATCAAAGTGGGATTGTTAGTTTGAGGAGAGAATTGCAAGTAAGAAATAAAGAATTATGAAAGATAATAATTATATTATAAAAATTGAAAATGTCCTGTGCTCTTAAAAATTAACACATGTTTATAAATGAATTTTATTTGACTAAAACCAAAATTTTTGGATTTACTAAATTCAAAACAGAATTCAGAGCACAACGAGTTCTTTGTTGAAAATGTAGTATTCACAAATATTTTGTTGAAAATGGTAGTCTTTGCAAATATTTTGTTATGATGATATTTTTGGGAAATGCAAAAAGTATCACTTGTGAATGCTCGATACTTATAGAGCTTGCTTCCTTTGCCAAAGGCGTCATATCAAAAAGCGGAAAAGCCAAGGGACCACTTCCTTGGCCGAGATGAAATCATGATATTAGTAGCGATCAGCAAATATTGCAAAGCTGTCAGTATCGGTTTGAAAAACTCCAGACTTATGCAATCAAAGCTAAAAAACCAATGGAGTTTTCGAGATCTTAGAGTTCTGTGTTTTTATTAATAGCAGCTTTTACATATATTTTTTTAAGATCGTGTTATACAAAATTAAGTTTTGTTCTCAGAATCCAGTTTCGGTATCAGAGAGAATTTTCTCTTCTTTATACTGTAGTTTCTAAGAGAAAATATGTGAATTTCTCTGATATGTAATCAACGTAAATGTTGAGACTACTCTGAATTAAACTTCACATATCCCTATATTTTTACCAACACAAGATATGGTGTAAAGTTGGTTGGTATCCGTCCACCCCTTCTGGTACCTCCCACACAACGGGTCAAATTTTCTCAATAATTGTTACTCTCGTAAAAAGCAAAATAGACAACCGATTATCTTCAAATTTCACATAACCCAATATTTTTTATAACGCAAGATCTGATGTAAAGTTGGAATATATCAAACCATTCCTTCTGGTACTTCCCCCAAAAGGATTCAAAATTTTAAGTAACCAAAATACTCCTAAAATGCGGAATAAGCATCTGAGTTTTTCTACGTTTCACACATCCCAATATTTCTACTAGCACAAGATCTAGTGTGAAGATGGTATATATCCGTTCATTCCTTGTGGTACCTCCCCACCAACGGGTCAAATTTTTGAATAATTATAAGTCTCATTACATTCGAAACAAGTCAGAGATTACCTTCAAATTTCGAATATCTTAATTGTTCTATCAACCATAGATCCAATGGAAATATGGGATATCTGGTAAAACCTTCAGAAAATTCCATCATTTTCAAAGAAAAAAATATTTCATGTAAATTGAAGAAAGTAGTCGATATAGTCGAAATCTGGCACGTTGTAATATTTACATAAGACTTAGGTCAAATTCAATATAAACAATATTGGCCCTCTCCTTTGGCAACTCCCCCAGCATGGGTTTCAAATTCAAAATATTGAGTTTTTCACAAAAAGTCTATTTCAATTTAAAAAATGCAATTCTTCAATAAAAAAAATAAATTTTCTTCAAATTCTTTTTCCAAAATTAATTTAATATACTCCACTTTTTCATTTTTAACTCTATATTTCAATTCTTTCTTACTTTATTTAAATATAGATCTTTATACATAAATTTTATTCATACCATTTTTAAAATCTATAATAAAAACCATTTAAAAATACTTTTCAATCATTTATTTGCCAAGGAGACCTTTTTATACTAAGTTAATTATTATCGGTCGTTTTTGGTTTTTTTAAATTAATTAAATTAATGTATATTTCCATTGTTTTTATTTTTCAATAGTTCATTAATTCCAAAGGCTTTTTTATTTTTTATTATTTATTATATTTTATTATTAGGTAATTATTATAGGCCTTTTTTATTTTTCAAATTATTTACACTCCTCCTAATACCTAATTCCTTTAATTTCCCCTTTTGAAACAACCAATTAAAAAAACTCAACAACATTTCCCCTTTTCTTAGACTCGGGCTCTTTAACAGAAATAATTCACTCACTTCCACAACAAGAAATCATTCGAATTCATGTCTTCCCTTTTAATACATCAAACGACAACCAAACATCCATCACAAACCATCAAAGTTCCCCTTTTCTTACTGTTTGCTCCAAGTGAGTGAGAGTGGTGAATTGTTTTCTTTGTCATTCCTTATGTTATCATTTAACAACAACAAAACGAATGGCCCATGCTTGAACTTCCGTTTCTTTTTTATCTCAGTGTACGTTTAAATGTATATTTGTATGTAAATATCACACGCACACTACAACTACATTGGAGTCCAGCAGATAGCTCTTCTTCTTTTTCGTCATCGTCTTTGTGGTGTTGTTGTTGTTACGTGCTCTCAACAGTTATCCCCCATTCATGCATTCATTCATTTGCCGCCTTAAGCAGTTCAAATTCGTTTCGACGAGTTTGCTGCTGTTGCTTTCGTTCGTGAAAAGGGCGCACACTCGTTTCGTTGAAATTTTACGTTGTGGATGCTCTTCATGAGTTTTATATATAAAACACATAATGATGGGTCTTTTACATACAATCACACATATATAAGCAAGCAGTGTCTCTTGTGTTCTTTGAATGTGGGTCCGTTCATACAAAAACAACAACAACAATGAGCAAGGCAACACAGAGAGGCTCCCTTTCATTGTTTGCCGTTGACTATTCATCCCCTTTTTTTGGTGGCCACACGAAAGAGTGCCACTTACAAAAGTGTGTGTGTGGAAGAGTACTGCTCTCTTACTCTTTCATACAAAACGCAATGATGAGTATTTCCGTTTAACAAAAAACTGAAAAGGGAAGTAATGGGTACGTGAAATTGATGTTATATATATTGGCGAGGAGTTGAAATGAGTTGAGTGAGAACAACTGAGTGGTTTTCAAAGGAGAAATGGAGTGATTAATGGCAACGAATAAAGGGGAAGTATAAATGATTACAGAGGGGAAATGACACAGTAAATAACATATTAAAATAAAATAAAATTGAATGATAAAAAAACGAACATTCTAAATAAATTTATATTTGAATTACTTTTAATTTTAATCTTTAATAAGTGGGATAATATAGGCTACGTATAATTATTAAGGGAAAATAAATAATTGTTTTTAATAATTAAAATTAAATAAAAATGTATATTTAGGAAATAAAATTATATTTCAACCCTTTTTTACACTTTACTGACCATATCCTTTTTTTATTGGTTGCCAAATTGTGTTACCCATTTTTTAACTTTTTTAACAAGTGACCACAGGTAATAAAAAACGGTGGTCAGTTTTTTATCTATCGTTTTTTACAACCTCTATGACACTTCCTTGTTTTACCACCCCACTAACATAAAAAACACCACTAGCACTTTTTTACCAGCTACCTAACTTCCTACTTGCATTTTTTACCAAAACGTCTAGTTTTTTTTTTACAATTTTATGATCTTCCGTTTGACTTTTTTACCACATGCATTATGAGCTACTTCCTCACACATGTAGTGTTGGTGTTGTTGTTTTCTGTTCCACCCAGCAGGTCACTTTTTTAGGTAATTATTTTTTAAATGACAAAGAAGAAAAAAAAACTAATGCAAGGACATTTGCCTAAGTGTGTGTGTGTGACCATGTTGTTGTTATTGTTGTTTTTGTAATAAACATTTTTAAGACAAATAGTCTAGTTAGTGTGAGTCTTAGAGAATTGAAGAAGCATTTAGTGGAACATTTTGTTTTCTCTTCTTTTAAGTGAGCTATTAATAGATTTGCTATTATTTGGTCATTACTGCTATCAGTGAACTAACCTTTATACTTGATTAGGGAGTATTTCCCGTAGATTCATTTAGAGCAGAATGGTTCACCTTCGCTAAGGGAGTCCTGATGATTTTTTACCACAGATCTATGGCTATTTACAACTTTTCAACCTATTGAAGTTTGAATTTTTTTTTTTTTAATTTGTTAGCAATGTTGTAAGATATACAGAGACAGCTCTGCTAAATAGCTACAATATAAATTGCCGTTGGGAGTTAAAATATGAACGGATTGCTTGTTATGTGGTTTTAATTTTATTTATTTATTTATTTTTTTTTAAATACTTCATAGATAATACAGCCTGAGGTACCAAATCTATTATAAGTCTAAGAATGATAATGTATGACAAAATAAAGTGTTTTTTTGAGAATGTATTAAAACATCAATCCCTCAATAAATACGAACATATTTTTAGTATATTATATATATATATATATATATATATATATATATATATATATATA